GCTCAGATTTCATCTGTAAGATAGTAATCAAGAAACCAGTAATCGAACGAGATTGAAAAGAGAGAAATAAGATTTGAGAATTTGCTGACAAACCTGCGAGAGAGTAATTTCAAGGAAAATTAGGGATTCGGTCAGAACTCCAGAGAAACGGAGGAGTTGTGAGAGAGAAGATGATGATGCGAGGAAAATCTCTTTAGGGTTTATGGACAAAAATATTAAAACGGTGTCGTTTTCCTTTGTGGCCCACAATAAAATAGGTTTCATTAGAGGTCCATGCCCAATGTTAGCCATTTTTCATTGTATTTGGCCCATTAAGACAAAAGTGTAATTTAGTAGTTTCCATAGTTTGTAAGGATATCGTCAAAATATCATCATCATCTCCAAACTGTTGGGAAAGAAAAAAATAACAAAGAAAACTAGAACGATTATAGTTCTAATCAATGTGTGAATATCTTTTATCACTTTATGAGTTTATTGGATCAAAGATTTATATAAACTTTTGTTCTGTTACTGAAATCTACTTTATAAACCTATTTGGTATTTTTTGGGAGAAATTAGCAATAGTAACCAAAAAAAAAAAACTTATAATCAACAAACATTTTGGTTTGAAAATCCGTACTTTTCCAAACCCACTTGATGGATTGTGCACAAAACAGATCAAATTAAACCAAAAGAGCAAATTTAAAACTTTTAAAACTAATGTGACCCTCAGGAAAACTATTTCTCATGAATTCAAGCAAGGTTACAAAATCTCAAATCATTCCAAATTTCAAAATTCTTAACCAAAAACCCAAATAACTGGCCTACATCAGCAAATTACGAATAAAGGACTAAGAAGCAAAAGAAGGGAGGATTAAAGGACTAAAAAGCAAAGAATAAAGGTCAAATAAAAAAACAACTTAGCTCAATTTTTACACTCACAGACGTATTTTTGTTCATAACAAACTTTTTCTTGTTCTTCATCTCTGGAATTCCAGATTGTATAATCTCCATCGGCTAATTCGTTTCTCATCTCGAGGGATTAGCGATTGCGAGTATTGTTTCTTTGTTTTCGTTAACATTGATTCAATTTGGCGAATATTACATAGTTGAATTTCGTTATCAAAGATCCAGTTTTTTTTTCCGGTGAATTAGCTCAACTATGAAGATACTGAAATGCCCATCAAGAAGAGACCACAATTTCATTCACTTTCTCTTCATCTCTGGTAAAAAAAACCTCGTCGACGAAATTTGCCCAATTTCTCTCCTTTCGAAAGTTTTGATCTTTGGCAAAATTGCAGCTTTTTTGTTCGGAGTTTACGGTGCTGCATCTGTACCTGTACCTGTACCCGATTCGAACTGCTACGCTCTTGACAATTCAAGTCGCCTTGTCGACTTCGTATCCTCTTTCGACTACTCTGTGTTCTGAGTAAAGGAGTTTGCTTTGTTGCTTTTTTTAAGCTTTTCTTTTAACTTGGTTTGATCAGAGTAGCTGGATCGGTCATCCATTTGAATATGATGGGAAGGTTGTTTATATATATCCTCAAGTTTTTCTCTCTTTCTTGAGAGCTGGTTTTAAGGACTTTAGGTTTGTTTTTGTGCATGTAGGAATTTGATTTGGTGGTTAGATTTTGCAAGGATGTTGAAACAAGAGGGCAAGCGGTAAATTCCATATCATGAAACTTATAAACCGGTGATGATTCCACAAATCACTTTTTGTTGTTTGTGTGCAGGGATATGTTGACTTTGGACGATTTGACTTGTTAAGCTACTTTGTGTCTGCTTCTGGAAATTTCGATTACGTTCAAGTAAGAATCTCCTCTTCTTTGTTAAGCTGTTTGGGATAAGGCATCATAGTTTCAGAACATCATAACCAATTGTTGCATTTGGATAGAAATGTATTTTCCTCTGAATTTGTTAGTGATTGTTTCCTGATATTTGATATACGTGTAGGGGTTTTACCACGGCGACCTGTCGAATTGTGAGCTGAGTTACGACAAACTTGGACGAACAGCACAGGTTAGATATCTACTCAAGAGTTTTATTATGATTGGAAATTTTTAGTGGTTCCTTTATTTGAGTACGGTTTCTATGCTTTCTTCAGGTCAATATTATTTGTGGGAACTGTGCTGATGGACGATGTAAAGGTGTGTCTGCTTCTGCTTCTGCTTCTGTTAATTGTTTTGTTCGATTGCGGATTGAAACTTCGAAATGCCTTCTCAATTCTTGAGAAGCTATTAAGTATTCGTTCTTTTTTTTTTTCTATTTTAGGTGGACTTGGATGCATATGTAGTGTCACCCAAGATTCAACTTGCAGGTGTCTGCTACTATTTATCTCTGATTATTCAAGAATCGTGGTAAAATCGTTTTTCTTACAACGGATATGTGTTCCTGCTCTTTCCCACTGGTCCAGAGTTACTGTCGAGTTGGCTATTCCGTGTGAGAAACCTGGCCCGCGGGTGTTTAAGGGATTCACGGTCGGTTTGCATCCTCGCTCATGGGAAATTGTAAGAAAATAGCAAATCCAAGTTGCTGGTTTTAACTCGCTTTTAACATAAACTTAAAAATGGATTTGGTTTTGGATTTTTAACCTGCAGATCTATAATGGCATGACACAATTTGGATTTGAGAAGCCTCGTCGTGAGTTTAGGTATCGAATCAAGAACTTTGTTTATTAATGTTTTAGTTGCTGTGTATTTAGTACCTGAAGTGTTCCTGATTCGCAGCTTCAAGACCGAGCAGACTCATCTTACACTCTATATGACTGCAATTGCTTCTCTTTCAACATTGGTAGGGAAACCTATCATCAAGGTTTTTCCAGAGAATGGTCTTAATGTTAAGATAGCTGGTTCTTCGTTCACTGGAAATCATCCAACAACTTTATCGCCTTCAACTTTAGTACTGTATTGGAATTGTAATAACTTCTGGTATCTTGCTTTTCTCATTGTGCCTTTGATCTTTGCTTTTACAAACTTTATAACTTTTGTTTTTAAAGGTGAGAAATCTCGGCCAACTCCATATGAAATCAATGTCACCATCCCAGTGGATGGTTATGATTCTGTTCAGTTTTTCCTCACAAAACTCTGCGGTGAGCTGATTCTACACTCGGCCTGATCATCCCTGCGGCATTCCGCTTGAGCTGAAACTTTCAATTGCTTGCTCTGTCTCTCTCTGATACATACAGTATAATTTGTGTTTCTTACATGATATCAGAATACAACCAAGGTAGTGAAGGAGGATCAGCGAAAGGATGGGCTATATTCGGAGTTTTTTCCTGCGTGTACGAAAACTATCTCTCTCAAAATCACAAATGCTTTGTAATAGGAGAATTAGCTCAACTAATTGTGTTTTCGGGTGTGTTGCTTCTGATCAGATCCCTCGTTGCATTTACACTTTTCTGCTGTGGAGGATTTATCTACAAAACAAGAGTAGAACGCGTGGTAACCTTCAATCCTTCTACTTCCATTCTTGATTCTCTAATTCTTCTCTCACACTATATATATAAACACAATCACTGCTATTTATGGATGCAGCGTGGAATTGATGCATTGCCGGGAATGTCACTCCTATCAGGCTTACTAGAAACTGTAAGCATTATAAAAGTACTCAAAACGTATATATTTATGCGGAATCAAGGAGAAACCTCGTTTGTCTTTATGGAGGCAATATCTATGTAATGTAATGGCTATGGTCTTTGTAAACAGGTGAGTGGAAGTGGACAAAGCTACTCAAGAACTGAAGAAATCAACAGTGCTTTTGCCAATGAAGTGTCATGGGACCGATCTTCCGTGAGTTCTACTCAAGCACCAACACAGAGACCAAGTGAAAGAACATATGGTGCGATCTAAACTGTTAATTTCCTCGCAAGAGGTTCTGTTTCAATCAATGATATGTCATGCTGTTTAACGGCATTTTTCGGGTTTTACTTTTTGTTTTCAATCTTCTTAGTTTCTAGAATGAGGGAGAAGAGTAAAAAAAGTTGTTAGATTCAACTTGAGATTGCTTCGTTCGATATATATCTAAAAACTTTGGTTGAATCGTGAAAATATCTGAAAATCTCACAAGTGTTACTTTTTTTAGTTTTACAACTACTGTACAGTGCTATGTATAGTGATGATATTAATTATTTGTACTAAGTGGCGATAGAAAGAGAAAAAAATGTCATCCATTCATTTGAGTAAGATATATACATTAAAGTTGGAGTGGCATTGAGAGTCTTGACAGACATTATTAATCTTTCTTCTTCCTTCGACCATGAACTCTGATGAGGGAGTGTCACTACCATTGATCCACAAACATTTGATGGTGCCTTGGAATCATCTAGGGAAAGGTGATTGTTGTGGAGGCTTTGAAGCTATCACTGATGGTTTCTACTGCCAACTCTGCGACTTTTTTGTCCACAAGAAATGTAGCGAGTCCTCCGAATGTATCCAACACCCATCTCACTCCGGTCACACGCTTGAGCTTCGAAGAAACACAACATATGATAGCTGCAGTTTATGTGGAAGGAGAATCGACAATCTGCTCTTATCGTTGTAAGATCTGTGACTTCAAAATTGATCTATACTGTGCCAAATATCCACCACCAAAGGTTATTGACAATTCAGAGACGCATCAGCACAAGCTCACCCTTGTCAAGGACCGGGAGCGGATCTTCTTCGTTTGTAATGGTAAGTGTGGCAAGAGTGGCGCTGAGTTTGCTTACGAATGTCATGAATGTGATTTAACCTTCCATGTGGATTGCGTATGGCATCCGCTCAAACACCCGTTAGAGGTAAACCACTACTTACACGTTCTATGATGATGGGAAAATGTCGTCTTTGTAACTTTGACCTAACTTTTCTTCCTCTTCTTCTTCCCAGTATACGACGATCGACGCTGGTGAGAGAGTGTCACTACCATGGATCCACAAGCATTTTATGATGCCTTGGAATGATCTGAGGAAAGGTGCTTGTTGTGGACGCTCTGAATCTATCAGAGATGGCTATTATTGCAAAATCTGTGATTTTTTCGTCCACAAGAAATGTAGCAACGAGACCTCTGAATCTACCGTTGTACGATATGTGACTTTGACGTGGATCTACCACTGTGCCACGTACCCACCACCACAACCTCACCCTTCTAAAAGAGCGTAAGAGTTTATCAAAGTTCGACTGTGATGCTAAATGTGGCAAGATAAGCGACTATGAGTTTGCTTACAAATGTCATCAATGTGATTTAAACTTCCATGTGGATTGCGTATGGCATCCATCAGAGGCAAAACACACGTCAGAGGTAAACCACTCTCACCACTCGTTGCACCCTCTTAAACTCTTCATGGGTCAATTACCAGACTATTCTGATGGAAAATGTCGTCTTTGTGGAAGCGAAGTTGATCATAGATTGTTCTATCATTGTTCTTCATGTAACTTCACCTTGGATATGCGTTGTGTTTACAAGCCACCACCATAATCTCTTCTGGATTTGAAAGTTCATGATCACCAACTCACCCAAGACACCGTAATTTTAGATGTAATGCTTGCGGGTTGAGTGGAGATCGTAGCCCTTACATATGTGTTCAATGCGATTTCATCATCCACCAAGGCTGTCTTGGCCTTCCACGCGTCATAAACATCAATCGACATGATCACCGTATTTCTCGCACTTCTGTTCTTGGTGTTGTGGATTCTGTCTGTGGAGTTTGTCACAAGGAGGTGGATTGGACTTGTGGGGGTTATTCTTGTCAGAGGTGTCCTGGCTATATCGTTCACTCGAAATGCGCTACAGGAAAGGATGTTTGGAATGGGAAAGAACTCGAAGGAGTACCTGAGGAAATAGAAGATATAGAGCCTTGTTTGGTAATAGATGAGGAAACAATAAATCACTTCAGCCACAAAGAGCATAACCTTAGACTTCACGTTAATGGTGTTCTGTAAGCAGAGCATGCAGCCATCACATCGGTCTTCAATCCTTCTATGGCTGTTTGGATTGTGATTTCAATAAAATAAAATGGCATGCGCTACATAACGACCGCCTTACTTTAGTTACAAGCGAGGTTGGCGCCTTTCGTTGTTATGTTTGTGGTAGATTTTCTAATGGTTTCACGTACCAGCATGGGAATAAGAGGATAGATGTCCAGTGTATTTCAATTTATGAGCCATTTGTCCATCCAAGTCATCCCGATCATCCCTTATATCATCATATTTCACGAGACGAAGGTGCAATATGCAACAGTTGCAAAAAGATGGAATTGTACATGCTCATATGCATTGAAGATGATTGTAAATTTGATTTATGCTTCAAATGTGTGACTTTAGCACAAGTGGTAAAGCATAGAGTTGACGATCATCCTCTCTCACTATGCTTTTGTGGCGAACAGGCAAGTGGTAAATACTGGTGCGACATTTGTGAGAAAAAGTTCGATCCAAGGAAGATGTGGTTCTACACATGTAAAGATCACCGGGCTAGTTTGCATACACAGTGTGTTCTCGGAGAATATGCAGGGCTCATGCCAGGAAGCACAATAAAAAACTTTGGGAAAACCGCTCGTTGAGCTTGGTAATGCAACGTTGAATTTAAATCTTGTTGAATTTCGTTGGAGTTTATGTGGAATGACAATCAAGAATCTACTCTATCGTTGTGAGATCTGTGACTTCAACATTGATCTATACTGTGCCAGATATCCACCACCAAAGGTTATTGACAATTCAGAGACGCATCAGCACAAGCTCACTCTTCTTCTGCTGTAATGGTCAAGGAAGATTTGCTGTCGCGTTAGCATTTCCTTGAGGCTTTTTGATTATTTATTTTTTTCCAAGTAACAGCGTGTTGTTTTAACCATTTAAATTGTGTCCAAAGCAAGATCAATTTATATCAGAAGAGCAACTTTTAAAACATACAAACAGTATTCAAGCAAGGTTACAAAACCTCGAATCATTTCAAATTTTTAGATCGAAATGAACCATAATTCGAAATTCTTGACAAAAAAACCCAAATAACCGGCCTATATAAGGCAAATTGCGAATCCAGTTCAAACTGAGCAACTCTAACAATACAGAAATGATATAAACATTGCTTAAGGTTTGGTGGTTTACAAACAAAACACACAGTTTACAACTCCTAACAAAATTTCTACATAGTGTTTTGAAGATTATACCTTCTCCTTCCTTCTCTTCTGTAATAAGGAGTTTCATCCACAGTCCTCTTCACATACTCCATAAATGGTGATGGTGTTCTTGGAGATTCCTCATGGTATATAACCGAACCGCTTCTTCTTTCGGGTGTTCTTGGTGCTCCTGCTACTACACCGTTTGTTGCAGCCCTAGTGGCCCCCCCTGCTAGACCAATTGGTCTATCTATCACTTTCATCAAGACGATCACTGAAATAATCACCACTACAACACCCCATAGTATCGTAAGCAAAAAAGAGTATCCATCTTTTCTTTGAGGCGGCGCTACTAGATATTCGCCCATTTCAAAGGATACATCGATTTCTACACTTTGACCTGCAAACAGTTTAGACTCTCATCAGGTGGTAAGTGAAAGAAACATGGCCTATTCTATAACATGAAACAGAGCCTATTCCATAAGCTCACCAGTAGCAGGGAGAGTGATGATTATTCTATCTGTGAATTGCTCTGATCTTAGCACATTCACCTGAAAAAGGTTAAATTTGAAAAATCAATAGCTTACTAAATTGTTGTCCTATCGGCATAGATTAGATTACCAAGCTTATAAGTAGGGTTTCATGAGAAAATTCACCTCATATAGAGCACGCCCCGCGATACCATAATCTTCTCTCTTGATCAAGCTGATTGATAACCTACCTTTGTTGCGCCACTGAATTTGAACATCTGCAATGAGTAATTTGAGGTTTCTTTGCATTTCTAAATAAGAAAAAAGAAGATTATTAACAATTGATAATGGGGTTATACCTGTGTTCCCCAGTATCGAAATGATGGTCTTGTTAGAATCCGGGTTTATATTCAGCTGCAATTATTTCCAAGTCAAACTATAAGCAAACATATTCTGGATATAGGCGCTGGTTAATGATTCTTTCAGAAATGTAAAGAAAATAAGAAACAAATAACCTTGTTTGGCCCTGTTACAGAAAACCCTCCAATAAGAAGTGCAGATGCAGAGCCCGAAACATGACGAGCTTCTTTGAGTGAAGCATTAATGGAGAAGGACACATGAGATTTCATGTCTCTTGATGTAGACATTGAGTGAACCAGATGCTCTGGTGAATATGGGAAGAAAAGGCAATAAGTGTTGCCGGTATCAAGATCCATCCATGGCTTTGCGTATCTTCAATGCAAGATAAATAAGAATAAAAAAAGATTGTGTACTTGTATATATGCACAGACATACATATATGCACTGCAAGAAAGTACAGTTGAAAGCAAGCATCATACCCTATAAACGGAGGGTCTACTTGGCAGTTAAGCGTGCCCTTGTTTCCATTTTCAGAGACTACAACCTTGTTCTCCCTGTTGCAGTTTATATTATCATCATCGGTGAAAAAGTTGTTGCCTGTATGTTTTTTAAGTGCAACAATAAAAGATTGCAGACCTGAATTTCACAGGAAAGTTATATCCTTCTTTAGGGATGTGGACATTTGTCAGTGTTTCTCCAGGAGAGTCAACATAAATTGTGTTTCCAAGTAGCACTGTGACTTTTGTTTGTAGTTTCAAACCATGACCTTCAAATGTAACTGTAGAGAAGCGACAAAGGATCAGCAGGAAGATAGAAAAAAATATCTCTAAAAGTCCTCTAGAAATCCAACTGATGTGCAAAATAATTATGAAAAGAGAACGATATTACCGTGAGCTGAGCCTTGGCTGATCGCTTTAGCTTGGCCAGATGCCACATTGATGGATAGAACACTTTTGTTTGATGTAACCCATTGACCAGAGACTTGATGATCTGCCCCTATATCGCATTGCAAGAAAAATGTATTTTTTAGAAGGAGGACATGCATTAAAATGCCTTTATCATGTAGATTTCATTTGACATTTTTACCTGCAATGCTGAAAGTTAAAGAACTTCCAGTGTGAATGACTGGGTTTTGAGGATAAATATGTGCCCCAACTGAAACCTGAAACAGACAAAAAACCACCTGTGATGCCAATTGCAGATATCTTTACCAGATGAATGCATACCGAATTTTGTAACATCAGAATTTTTCTATCAGTTAAATAACAATGTTCATGATATTAGCCCATACCAGAATGTAGTCTGCTTTCCTGAGATAACCGCTAATGGAGACCCGAATAAGAGCTTTACCATGTTTTATTCCCTTCATTATAAAGATAACGAGATTAGAAAGCAGCAGTCAAGCAGACAAGTATAAATTTAGTAACCATCAGATATCAAAATTTCTTAACCAACCTGAATAAACCATTTTGACTGAGTATGTTACATAAACACCACATGTATCAACAAAAGTTGATTATAAAGGATTAACGCACCTTAATGTAGATACTTGTTTGGTTATTGACAGTCTTGATGGATACAACATCACGATGATTGGTTTCAACATTGTATGTAGTCACACCATGTGCTTCAAGAAAGACGATCCCTTTTCCAAACAAAACAGCACAGATATTTAGAAACGAAAAAATACATCAAGAAAATGACGTATGCACGCAAAATCTGAGAGTGTTACCTAAACTGTCATAGTAATTTATTGGAAGTTCAAGTTCACCACCAACAGCAAGATCTACCACGTGGAAAGGGACCCCCTCACTCTTCATTCTTATTTGAGCAACCTGATAGAATTCTATGTTACCAAAAAAGTAGACTAATAGAAGATAAGTGATCCAAGAACTTAATAGAATAGTGAATCGAGTGGCTAGAAAGTAGAATAGACGACGATATTGAAGAATAGTTTCTATAAATACTTCCACATTCATATACCTCTGCAACCCTCACACAAGTAGCAATCTCAATCCTTCCAGTCGTGCGGTCTTTGGCTTGAATACATGCAACATTGTTGCTATCTGTTGTTTTGAGACTTCCGCCATTAATTGATATGGTATCTCGATCAAAATCAGCCCGAGAACTACAGTCTTTCAATATGGAATAGACTATATTGCCTCTGTGACTTTGACTATCCCTGTGCTTCTGTGGCTCAGAAGATGACGGCAATAGACTAGATGACGTATAAAAAGGCGGAAGAACCCAGGTCATAGGAACCCCAAGAGAAAGTGGGAGATCAGGCACAACAGATAAAATCACTGACGCTTCATACGTTCTAGATTCAGAGTACAAGCCAGGAGACACGAAATCACATGAGAACGCAATCCTGACTTTGGTCTTTCCAGCTGATCTGAAATGGAAAATATAAAACAGCTCATAAGAGTTTGGGACTTGTCTAGCTTATGTGCTCAGATCTTACTATTCTGCATAGACCTCAGCTGAACAGATTACATGAATACTGAGCTGGAATTATTACTAACAAACTGTGCTATTGCCTTCTAAGGGTGCATAACCTTGTTTGATTTTAAACATGCAAGCTAACTACATTAGCTAAGTCTACTTCTAAAAGTTGAACGATGTTGAGCATGATGATGCCTTGTTAGGATATTCTAGAGTAGTGAAAGCCACTTCTTCGCAAGGGAAATAAGTACAGGGACTAGCCAACCTGAAAATATTATCAACCGTAATTGGAAAATGGTGTGCCTTTCATTAATCGTTATTGTATATATGCTAGAGAACACATGCAGTAATCTTAGGTTACCTTCCTTGGACGACATTGAGAAAGCCAGCATTCTCTTCCACGTCAATGGAGGATAAATGGAAACTTAACACCTAACAAGGAAAAAATGAGCTTTTTGTCATACACATGAGAATCAAAAATAGATTACTATATGCACAATAAGAAGAAACACAGAATTGGACCTCCTCATCTTCGATAGTCCACTTGTATGCTCGGCAGAGCTCATAAAAAGCCAAAAGATCTCCCTGATAATGAAACCAGAAAGCAGTAAGCCGTGAGAATAGACTCCAGACGAATTAACTTAAGCAGTAAGTTCTTTTTGGCTTATGATTCTCACCTTAGAAAATGATGGGAATATAGGCATTTCATGGCCAACGGCCACAGTGTCACTTTGAGCTATCAGCATTGCAGCAGCAGGAAGTCCTACTTCGGCATTTCCAACTGCCTGACAAACTACAGTACCTTCACTCCCGTATATTGTTGCATAGATTGTCTAATCATAAAAGAGAACCAGGTTAAGATGCCACATTTTCCAAATGTCTAGTTGGAAATGATTTAAAAAATACGAGCTATATTCGGAAAAAACAAAAAAAACTCGCCCTCACCGTGTTACCGGGGGATGTCGCATAGAGTCGTCCTGATTTTTCAATCTTTGCAACTTGGTTATCGATAGTGGTGTAGTCAACAGAAACATTCATGGTTGGGCCTCCTTCAACAGTGAGCTATAAGGCAACAGAAGGCTGATCAGCACAAAATATCAAGAGAGAACAACAACAATAAAGATGGCATTCTCGAATAGGCGGTGACCGAATATATCTATATTTTTCCATCATACCACGTAAGAAGCACCAGGAACAAGAAATAGTCCTTGTGGGTGAAGTTTTGGCGGGGAATAAACTTCCACTTTTATAGTTTGGCTCAGTACTTTATCTCCTGACTGTTGTCTTGCGCTGACCTATTAAAAAAATAATGCTTCAGATGTACTTCCAGTACAAAATTATAACAGCAGGAAAAAATCAAGAAGTAATCTCACATATAGGGTTGTGATTCCCAGGCGTCTAGCAGCTATTTTAAAAGAAGAAGTTGACACGTGTTCACCAACAGAAAGTGAATTATCATCGATATTGACATGCTCCACAAGATCATCCTCAATATGCACCATAATGTCCATAAATGGGTACTGCACTTATCCACAATCAGCAATCAATCACTAATAAGAAAATCAGTAACAAGGAGACACTGCCGAACAGATAATCATTTTTGCTGTCGGTCCTTTTATATCCAAAATTCAGAATTGTTAGATTGGTGAAGTTAGATAGACAAGGCTTATAGAATATTTCCACGAACATTTTAGAGAAAAAAAATAAAGATGAACAGGTTAATCAAATATCAACAAAATTCTCATCTTAAACCTGGGAAGAATCAAAGGTCGTCTCGTCGTCAATTCCGGTCAATAAATCAATGAAGTGTGTACTTCCTTCCTGCCACATTTAAATTAAGCATAAGAATATCATATGAAAGGTAAAAAAAGCAATGAAAAGAGAAAGGTACAATACTGAAGAAAGGGATAAGAAGCCTGCTAAACATACCATTATACTTATCCCGTCCCCAGATGCTATTTTTATCCAGTCCACATCTGCAACTTTAATCTGTGTAGTAAGAATAGGATGAGAGACTCAGGGGAGTTCTAGACTATAGTCAAGAGTGACAAAGCATACACTGATCTCCACAGAACACGCCACAAAGTCTCGCAAAGAAGTCATGGTCATGTTCAATGTGAATTAACAAATCAATGAAATCTCACAACTTTATTGCACCGAATTATCCTGTTCAGAGAGTAACAAACTTACCACCGCAAGAGCTGAAAGTGGAGGCGAAACCCCAATATCGTATACTGTCACGAGTGTAATCCCCAACCCTTTTGGAGACAGCATCATCTGCGAGCATTGCAGGCCAGACGGGGGTCGAATAACTTCTGCTACACTGGTATCATTCACAACTGCTTCCCACAAACAGCTTCCTCCAGTCATTGACAAATTAACCTTCAGTAAGCAAATTTTAGAAACATTACAAATCTCGTTCTGGTACTCTCAGAACAAGTAGAACCAAAGAGACAGAAAAATATCGGAAAATGCATAAATACACAATGCAATCCATTGAAGATTACATCTGTC